TCTCTCTCTCTCTCTCTCTCTCTCTCTCTCTCTCTCTCTCTCTCTCTTTCTCTTTCTTTCTTGTTCTTTCTTGTTCCTTTCGTGGCTTTGTAAGTATTGCAAAAAAAAATGAACAAAAACTCATAATTACTTGTCAGAGTTTTTCCCCCCACCAGTAATAATATTCTGACACGTCGATCAGCTGCTACATTATAATACAGATTGTTTCAGAGGAGATATATTTCCTTAAAGGGTTTCTCTGCAAGGCGGCGGCGAGGCTAAAATTAGCTGTGCCAGCTGTGTTTTGCTGGGAGTGCTCACGCATGCCCGGAGCGTGGGCAGCCAGCCTCTGTGCCTCTCCACTCCCCCAAGTCTGCTGAACACTCCAGCCGTCCTTTCAGATAAAAGACTCCAGGTACAAAGACAGTTTCCGCACATGGAGGGAGAATTGAAACGCAATACACCGGATGCCACCTCTGCATAAGTCCTGCCCCGCCACTTTTGGGGTAACAACCTGGGCTCCTGGGCCCCAGGAAGAGCAGTTCTGAAATCTGTGTACCACAGAAAGACAAGGACACAGAGACATCAATTTTATGCCAATCCCCCCCACCCCTCTGTATGTGTGTGTGTGTCTGTGTGTCTGTGTGTCTTTCTTCTCTTTTTTTAAAGACAGGGTCTCAGATACTCCAAGCTGCTCTTGAACTTGCTATGAAACAGAATGACTTTGACTTCCGATCCTGATCCTCCTGCCTTCAGTTTCCCAACATTGGGACTGCAGGCATGAATTCTTGTACATGTTCCCGTGGGCGTGGGCACTGGCTGTTGAACCCAGGTCCCTGACCACATGGGGCAAGCACTCTACCAACACAGCTATCTCTTGATGACAAAAATCAGAACTTGGGTCAGAGGGTAGGTATGGGAAACCTGAGGGCAGTGTAATGAAGCCAGCTTCAGCCATGTTCTAAAGAGGAGATTCTGGACCTCAGTTATCCTATCCATGAAATGGTGAAGGACAGCAACTAAACCAGGCACAAACTCAGCACCAATCACAGAGTCTTCTGGCCACATCTCCCTGCTCAGTGAAGACTCTGGAGAACTTGTCAAGACTCTGGGAGTCAGTCTCATTGGTCCTTTCTTTCTGCTTGGAGTTAGATTGTAAATTCCACTCTTCATGCTTCATGGTCCAGCTCTGAGTACCACTGAGCTGAGGTCATGTTGGTAATGTGATCTCCAAGTTCACACCCAGCTTCCCCTGTGAGCATGGGTATGCCCCTTGAAGCAGCCTTCCCTAAATCCCCACTTCCCAAGGTGTAGGTGGTTTTCCCTGAGGGTAAAATCACAGGGATGCATTTCTCCTGTGACCTTCTAAACTCAGAACAGCAGGCCATGTCCTCCATAGCCCTAAGAACTAGCATGGTGCTAGACACAAAGCATGTGTTCTGAACATGCTTGGAGAACAAAATATTCTGAACATGATAAACACTTGTCCCTTGGTACACATGATACACTTTTGGAGCATTTCGTTCTTTTTAAAAACAAAATTGAAAAACTATGCTTATGTATTGTATATTACATGTACATATGTGTATAGAGGACACAAGCTTTCGGAGTTGGTTTTCTTTGCTCTAAGGTGTAGTTCCTTTCCTGGGATTGAACTCAGATGGTCAGCCGTGATGACAAGCACCCTTAGCTGCTGAGCCATGTAGCTAGCCCGTCCATTTCACTCTTTATCATTGCCTAGGCATTGATCTTGGTACAAGGGAATACAGAGGCACAGAGATCAAAAACTGGTTCTTCTTTCACAGCACAGATTCCCAGTGAGGGGTGAATGCCAAAGAATCAATGCGTGGGGTCAGAGGTCAGGAGCTACTTGGTGTTGTGAGGAATCTTAAAGTGACGGAAAACATAGGCACTGCGGTTTGGCTTAAAGACCATTCTTAAATGGAGCCTTGGGGTTAAAATTGGGTATGGACCAAGTCCTGGGTTTTGGTGCCACTGGAGTGTTCAAAGCCTTGACTGGTGACACCATTCCTGCCTACCTCCTTTGCAGACTCCATATGCCTCAGTTTCTTCACTCTTCATGTCTCTATCAACTTCCTACAGTTCATAAGGATCAGTTAAGATAAACACCTGAAGAATTCTGGGATACCTTTAACATGTCATACATGCTCCATTAGATGCCAACCTGAATCCTGGGGTTGGGGGGCAGCAGCAAGCCAACCAGAGGAAGTGGCAGACATAGGAAATGTTCTATTTCTCAAGAATGTGTTTTGCCACATCCCAGAGACTACCATGAAGTCACCAAAGACCCCAAGACAGGGCTGGAGAGGGAAGGTCCAGCTAAGCCAGGTTTGATGTGATGGTTAATGATGTCATTTGACAGGACCTAGAATCCCATAGGAGAGTCTAAACCTCTGGGTGTGTCTGTGAGTGATTCTCAAGATTAACTGAGGTAGAAAGACCCAACCTAAATATAGGTACCAACAAGTCAGTAGCTGAGCCCCTGAACTGAGCAAAAAGGGGAAAGCTGAACACCAGTGGTCATCTCTCTCTACTTCCTGATTGTGGACACTGTATGACTAATAGCCTGCTCCCACCAGGATGCCTTCCTGCCATGACAGCCTATAGCCTCAAACTGTGAGCAAAATAAACTTTTCCTTCTTTGAGTTGTTCTTGTCAGTTCTTTAGTTGCAGCAATGAGAAGAGTCGCTAAAACTCTTGAGACTGGATTGCTGTGGACCTCTAAGCTGTTAGTGGAGAGCGTTGTAGTGGGATTCCATCCAAGTCTTCCAACTTGAGAGTCAGGCATCTGCTTTAGGGCACTGTCATCCCACGTGACCCACCGGACACCTTCACATTGGGAAGTGCAGCTTCCATGGCTCCTTCACCAGATCTGATCAAGGACATTGGTAAAGGACTGGCTCTGGAGATTCCCTGAAGGCAATATTGTCTTATTTACAAACAAAAGATTAAAAAAAGAAATTAACTCCTCACTCAGCAATAGCCCACTTATATGTAAGATCGTCAGCATGAACGGATGCTAGCGACAATTTCTACACAAATTGCTACGTTCCAAACTTCTATTCTATTTCATTGGATTATTGGCATGTTCTGGGCATCCATGGTCGTTAGCCTCAGAATCCTCACTGCACGCGTCAGGCTTTCCTAAAGTTATACAAAGTGAATTATAAGAATTGTAAAACCACGTTGTCCCTTACACACACACACACACACACACATACACACACACACACACATCTTAGGCACACCAATAGCTGTGCCATTCAGGAAGCAGGATGCTCCTATCAGAGTAGTGTTTATTGCATTTCTGCTCTAAGGAAGCAATAGTATTTTTCATTTAAATGGTCACGTGAAAGTAGGAGGTGACTGGTTTGAGTCACTCTCTAAATCAGAAGTCTTCTGTGCCATACCTGCCAACTAACCCAAAGATTCCGAGGCAGCAAAGGGTATCGGAAGGCATGGGTGCTCCCAGGTTCATGAGATGTTCAGTGTGGCAGGAGAGGGCCCACTGAAAACAAGCTCTGACTTCTAAAATGGTCTGGCTGTGGCAAACACACCACATATAGGTGGAGTAGTGAGGGTGCTGGAATGACTGTCCAAGGATCAGAGACAGACAGATATCCATGGTTTGTCTTCACACTGTCCATCTGAAGAAAACATGCATCCTCCTGTGGAGTGACTTATTGCCCTTTAATTATATAGACTGTAATGGTGAAGTTTCACTGCCTCTCTGACAGGATTTAGAGTCACCGAGGAAAGTCTGTGTCAGAATTTCTAGATTAGATTAATAGAGGTGCAAAGACCAACCCTAAATGTGTCCATGCCATTCCACGAGATAGGGTCTAGAGATGAATAAAAAGGAGAAGTATAACTAAGCACCAGCACCCCTATCTGTCTCCTTCTCCCCCTCTGCTCCTGACTACACACAATGTGACCTAACTGCCTT